ACATAACCTGAAAACAACTATAAATTGGAGTTAATCAATAGAGTAAAAGTACTAGCATTGAGAGGTATCAGGAAAGGCTTCCTATAGAAGGTGGGATTTTAACTGGAACTTAAGTATGCCAGGAAAGCCAGTAGGTAGAGATGAGGAGTAAGAATATACCAGGCATTAGAAACAGCTAGTGAAAATGCCCAAAGTCTAGAGATGGAGCACCTCGTGTGAGGAACAACAAGGGCCAGTGTTTCTGGTGGGTGGGCTAATACACTACTGGGCTGAATCAAGTAGGATACTTGGTAGCTATGTTGAATTTTTGCCAGGCTCAGCTGTTCTTGGCTTAGGATGGGCAGGGCCCTTAGCAATTGTTTTCCTGGTTCTGCTTACTTCATTCTGAATCAGTTCTTATAAGTCTTCCCAGGTTTCTATAAAACTGCTACTTTCATCATTTCTTATGGCAGAATATCATTCTATTACATTCATGCACTATAATTTGTTCAATCATTCCCCAACTGGTGAGTACCACTTTTTTTTCCCAGTTCTTTATCATCACAAAAAGAGATGCTATAAGAATTTTTGTACATGTGGGTACTTTTCCTCTTTCCTTGATTTCTTTGGGAAATAGGCCTAGCAGTGATATTGCTGGTTTAAAGGGTAAGAACATTTTAGTAAGGTTTTGGGCATAATTCCAAATTGCTTTCCAGAATGACTGGAACAATTCAAAACTCCACCAGTGTGTGTCTGTTTTCTCAAAGCTACTCTAACCTTGGCAATTTTCCTCTTTTGTCAGTTTTGTCAGTCTGATATGTATGAGGTAAAAACTCAGAGTTACTTTAATTGCATTTCTCTAATCATTAATGATTTGGAACTTTTTTTTCATATGGTTGTGATAGCTTAGATTTCTTATTTTCAAAACTTCCTGTTCATATCCTGTGACCTATTTGGGGAATGGTTCTTAGTTTTATAAATTTGAATCAGTTCCTTATATATCTTGGATATGAGACCTTTATCAGATTTTTTCCCTCAGTTACCTGTTTTCCTTCTAATTTTAACTATATTAGATGTGTTTGTACAAAACTTTAAAAATTTAACAGCATGAAAATGAACCATATCATCACCTATGATCTTCTCTTATTGCTTTTTTCGGTCATGAACTCTTCCAATATGCATACATCTCAAAAGTAATTTCTTCCTTGTTCCTCTAATTCATTTGTGGTAGAGTAATCAATTTTGATTCAATCAGTTCTACCTCCCATACTCCACTGGGGATTTTTATGCAGATGAGTGGGTAGGAACAAAAGTATGAATTTAATCTGAGACAAGTTCAAATGCAATTAAACTGGTTAAGTCTCATGCCCTCTCTGGGGAGAATATCTATTTTGCATCAAAAGGCCATCTCCTTTTATATTTCAATGTCTCTATCTTTAGTCCCTCCAGACTTTCATGTTTTGCCAAAGTCTCTTGGGATTCTCCCTCTTACATATGTAAGAAACAGTTTAATAAGGATTTGTTTTGTTTCAAATCTAGGAAACCCAGGTGGTAGCTAGTAGGTAATAATGTCCATGAATTCCTTCAATTAGTTTGCTGTGCATCTGTCATCAATATGAGTGCCTTACTATAATAATAACTAATTATAATTCACAAATGTCCATGTGAATTGTTAATAACAAAAAGAGTGGTAATTTAAATGGCAGGCATACTGAAAATTAAATAAAGGGATTCATGGACATTATTTATCTCCCAGATATTGCCTGTGTTTCCTAGATTTAAAACAAAGTAAAACATTTTTTAAAATGTCTGTTATATAAAGTCAAACTTGGAGAATAACTTTCATAGTTTTCCTTTAATTTGGATGATTTTTAATTTCCCTTGGTTCCCAAGGTTTTATAGGTTTCCCATCAGGTAAAACAGAAAGGAGTCAGTAGCACAAATTGTTGCTTTTAAGAAATTCACCCATGAAATTAAAATTTGGGGTGTGATTTTGGAATGTTAATGCTGTAAATCTATGATGTGACAAATGGGAAACACAGATTGTAGCCAGAGATGCTACCTTGCCAAACTTGAATTCTGTGTGGTTATTCTCAATTGGGTGGCCAGCCATAATTAAGAGGCTTTTGCTAGCTTGACTGGAATTCCCTCAAACTAATAACAAAGTAAAAACTTAGGTATTTTTGGGACATATCCAAGAAAGTCTTGAGGGGATGCCTGATTACTATTAACGTCCAAGACAGAAAGTAAAGGCTTCAGAAACTATATGACTCAAGGGCTAAGACTGCAGACCTAGAGACTGAACACGAGGAAAACAGCCTGCTCCAAATTGTTGTCAGAATTAAGGAATCAAAAAGGGGGGTGGGGAAGTGGAAAGTTACAAGAAACAGAAATTGTGTGGGGAAAGAGTATTTTTTATAAATGTGATCAAGAAAACTAGCAGAAGGAAAAGGCTGAAAAGAGTTATGTTGATGTATTTTGTGTTGGAATAATCCCAAAGGAAGTCTCTCCTGTATTATTTTCCTGCATAACATTCCAATAGACCACACTTGGAGTAAGTGTAAATGGGCCACATACTGCTTAATCCCCAGTAATGAATATTCGTAAACAGTCCAACTTTCACTATGGACAAAAATGAAGAAAGACAGTTTTGTAGTCCAAAAATAATCAAGCAATAGATTAAAATACCAGGGTGTAGTTGCCATTATAATTGTAACTGTCATTTCTAATGTGTTGAATATTACCCAGTATCAACAGTTAAGCATAACTTAAATCATATCACAACTTCTCGGATATAGTCAATCCTCAACTTTTGCAGGGGTAATGTTCCTAGAAAACACAAAAATAAAAAATACAGATGTTGATGCACTGAACCTATGGGAAATAGGGGATTAGGTTCCTGCAACCACTAAAAACTATAATCTTTCACCAGAGATTGCTGAAAATGTATTTTTCCACATGTAATTCTTTATAACAAAACATTAATTCTGATAATATGCACTTTTCCTAACACAGTAACCATGAAATAACCCAGAAAATTCAGTACACAAAAAATTGGTAACATGCGAAACATTTTTTCTTGCTAGTAATTCCCTAAAAGTTTTACACTAGCATCTCAGTTAAAAAACATTGATTTCAGAAAATATTTACTTTTTTCATTTTTAATATTTTATTTTTCCTCAATTACATGTAAAAACAATTTTAACACCCTTTTTTTTAAGTTTTGAGTTCCAAATTCTATCCCTCCTTTCCTCCCCTGCCCCCTTCCTGATATGGAAAGCAATCTGATATAGGTTATACACATGCAATCATATAAAACATTTCCATGACAATATTCACTTTTCATAACACATGAAATCTATAGTACCATAATGATTATAGAGCAAATAAAGTTCTTAAACTAAAACATTTTTAACTTGAATTTTACCTTCCTCTGTATCAGATGGCAGTGTGCTGTATATTATATTGATGTAAACTTCTCAACCCTGGCTACCCTCTGAAAACCAAGGGAGGGGGTGCTGGGACTTTAGTTGCTGCTGAGATTACAACGAGACTGGGAGAGGTTACAGTGAAGTGCCTAGTAAGATACTAGCTACTCTATAAAATTGCAGGCATTGCACCTCTTATTTTTTTCTCTATTGCACATAGATGTGAATGTGTGTGATTGCCAATGTGAAAATGAAAATGAGATTACTAATAAAATCACTGAATGCTTGAAGTTGCAAAAGTTAAATGTATTTTCCTTTGGAAATATAATGACAAATGTACAGATGTTGCAGGCATTATACTCTTTGGGTTCTGAGATCCAATGCAGAATAAAATCAGAAGGATTTACTCTGACTTATTTCCTTACTACCTGAAATTCCTAACTAGAAGAATAATGTGTCCTTTATGACTTTGAAATGGATAGGGAACCATATTCCATCAAAAGGAGTAAAGCATCAACTAGGGCCTGTCATTGAGTTATTCATCTCAGCACTGAGCAATTCTCAGTGTCCATTTAGCTTCACCATGCTTGTGATCGAGGCCTCCTTCAGTTTCTGGTTTTGTCTGTACTGTTTTGCCATCTCTTCTTGGAACAATTGGTTTACATGGACTTGGATTCTGATATTTGATGACACCTGTCCTTTCATATCTAAAGCCTTGGGGTCCCCGCTTTCTTGTACTTGCTAAAAGACCTCTGGCATTGATATACTCTAGTGACCTTGTCTTTACATCAGATCCTTTACTACCATAACTGCCCTCATGGTCCCACCTGCCCGCACTAACCACTCTTCATGGATTCCATTTCATCAAAAGTCAGTTTCTCTCTCCTGCTTTCTCTAGTTGTTGCAGGCCAGGTCAAAATCTTTTCTCTGGATGCCCGATGACTGAGATCTGTCCACATCTATTCCATAGCAAATATAGAACTTCCAAATAGATCCAATGAACATTAATTAATATTGAATTCTTATATTTAACAATGAATATGTCCAGTAAGAACCCTAGATTAAAGCATAGCATAGGTACATGCTATCTGCCTCCCAAAAAAGAACTGATATTGTCTGAATACAATCTGAAGCATACTATTTTTCACTTTCTCCTTTTTCTTTCTTTCTTCCTTTCATTTTTTTGTTCAAGTCTTCTTATACAAAATGACTAATGTGGAAATATTTTACATGATTGCACACGTATAACCTATATCAGATTGCTTACCGTTTCAGGGAGAGGGGAGAGGAGGAGAAGGATGGATGGATAGAATTTGGAACTCAAAACTTATAAAAATGTTAAATATTGTTTTAACATGTAATTGGGTAAAAATAGAATATTATTTTAAAAGAAGAAAAGAAAAACATACTTGAAGGAAAATTGTTCACACTTAAAAATTTTGGCTTTCTTTCATATCTAACTTAAAACACCCAGATTTAATTTGAACTATGTCTGGTAGAGAACAACTTCTGGGTCCCAACATAAAAAAAGAGTAGAACAAAATATTCTTAAGATCTAAAAAGTTTGGTGTTTCTTATCATGTATCTTTTTTTAAAAATATGAATTTCATAACTTTACTTTTCATTCTTGCGCAGGGGCCATGTTACTCTTTTCTGTATTATACCAAGTATACATGCTATCAAATCAAGTGCTTATATTCATTTAGAACAATAATTTAATTAAACCCATATGAATCAAACTATCCTCCACCTAAATTCCTGCTCTAATCCCTTATTGTGATGACCTGGATTATTAAAAGATATTCCAGCAGAGGACAAGCTGGAAAGGTTTTAATATGGGATTGAGAATGACCTATGTCTTTCATCTGCAAATTAGTCCTGAGGAAGTTTAGAGACTCATCCACTGATTAGCCATTGGGGGAAGAATTTGGGGGCCCCAGCAACTCTCAAAAACAGTCTAGAAGGTTTTCATCTGAATCAGTTAAAGAACCATACACACAGAAAAGAGCTCAGAGATGCCTGAGGCATAAAAATGAATTATTAAAGTGTAGTAAACATGGTCATGATGCTTGAACCCAAAGAACAAAGCTCAAGAGGAGAAATTTTCAGGACTAAACTTCCTATGGGATTGTAACTGGGCCCAGGCTGATCATATCATGAGATGAGGATCATGACTAGTGAAAAGTCTTCTGAGCAATAGAAAATTTAAAACTGGGGAGGTTGGCAGGTGGGAGGATCAGTTTAAAAGAGGGGATGAGACAGAATTACAGTCATATCCTGCAGAATCCTAATGAACCCATGCAGCATCCAGATGAGTGATTAAGTTCATAAGCGGTCAGTGCTGTTTGGTACATACCACACATATGGGAAGTAAGAGGTAGGATGGTATGGTGGATAGAGTGTGGGAATTGGAGCCAAAAACAGGCCATCTATCCTAACCCTCCACTTTATAGATGAGGAATATAAGACCCAGAGAAAGTAAATGGCTTACCCATAGTCACACAGGTAATAAGTGACAAAGCCATGATCTGAAGTCAGGAAAGGACTCCAAATTCTGTGTGCTTTCTGTTGTATCAGGATGGAGGCTTAACAATTGCTTGGAAAAGGAACAAATGAATGAATTAAATTCATGTGTGTACAGAAATTGACACTAAGCACTGGGGGTCATTGAAAGTTTAAATAAGACATGATCACACTATGTGTTTGGGGGATGACATCAACAGAGATAGCTATAATACACATTAAATGATAAACGAATGAATCACTAAGGAAATAAAAGACATCATCACTTTGTGCTTAAATATTTAATAAGGAAACAGGGACAAGGTAGAAAAGCAACATGATGATCTCATAAAAAAGAAGAACTATATAAATCAAGTATGCATGGAGACACAAGTGAAGCAAAATTGTGAAACTACACTTGTAAGTGCCAAAGACCATCAGTGAGGCTGGAGGTAGGTAAAGTCGATTCAGGAAAGTTTCAGAGAGGTAAAGTCCTTTGGAAAAAATGCTCATATGAGGTACTACCTACTCAAAGGCTGGGCAGGGGTTCTCTGATGTTATCACCATTTTTCCTCATTAACAGGCTCCATAAATCTCACCTTTGGCTATAGCTGACAGTCAACCAAATTGCTACTGAAAGTTATAAGTCTAGGAATATACAAAGATAATAAGTTATTGAGAAAGCGGAAAGAAAGCAAGCATTTATTAAGCACCTACTATGTTCCAGGCACTGTGCTAAATGCTTTACAAATATTAGGAAGCTTACCTGGGCATGTTCAGAACCTAACACAGAGGTGCCCTATATCCCCTATCAAATAGGTGGATGTAACATCCTTTGATTGGCAGTGTAGCTGGAACATACTACATTTATAAAACTGGCCAATCTGAAATAGTCACTGTCTTCCTGGTTCAGAATTTCCTAAATTCTCCTTCCTGCTACATCCAGAAATTGGAGATCATAGTTAATCCATAATATGGGTGCCAAGAACTGAATTGATGAGAGGTTCCTCTACTCCTTCTTTTACCCTGGCTTCGAGAAATGATATTTGTCTTATTCCTTTTCATTTGTCTTTCTCGGCAATAATCCCTACCAGACTTGGGAGTTTAAGCCATGACCTTAGAGCTAGGATCCATACTGGATGTTGCAGTCAGTCAACCCAGAAGGGAAGCTTAAAGAAACCATTCTGAAGATCACCTGGCAGGATAAGATACCAGACACTGAGGTCCTTTCTCAAACTAAACTGCCAAGCATTCAAACTCTGTTTCAGAGAGCGCAACTCTGGTGGGCTGGCCACATTGTTCAAATACTACAGGACAAGCATTCACATGGTGATCAGAAGAAGCGATACAAGGATACTCTCAAGGTCTCTCTTAAGAACTTTGGAATTGATTGTGTGATGTGGAAGACAGTGGCACAGGACTGCTCAGAATGGCATGCCCAGAGAAGGTGCCATGCTCTATGAGTAAAGCAGAATTGAAACAGCTCAAAGGAAACAAAGGATACACAAATTTAGAGCATCCACCCCAAATGTTCATGTGAACTTCCTGTGCTGTGTAGAGCATTCTGAGCTCATATTGGTCTGATCAGTCACAGTTGGACACACTGAAACTTGACTATAGCATAGTGATGTCATTTTGGTCCTCTCTGAGAACAAAGGACAACAACGAACCAACTTGGAACTAAAAGAAGGGGGGGAGGGGAAGAAAGTCCTTCACTTCTCACCAGTTCAGTTCATCTTGTCCACAATGTAGATGAACTGTGATCTTCACTCTCTGGATTGCAGCAGAAAAGAATGTTTAGGAGGGAGCATGAGCTAGTTTTAGCCTGCTGTAGCTACACAGCCAATCAAAGAAGGACTGAGGGCACCTTCATGTTAGGATCTAGGCATGCCTAAGCAAAGCTCCTAACACAAATATCTCATTTAACAAGTATAGTGTATTAGAACAGTGTCAAGGTATTTCCCCCCTTTGATTATTTTAAAAGGTCTACTATATACATACATACATATATATATACATACATATATACACATATACATAGATATAAGTATTTCAATAGTTTCATTGGTCAGTAATCTCATTGATATGGGGACTTCCTGTAGCAAAGATTGTGGATGACAATTTTCTTTGCCTTATCCTGTACAACTCTTGTCCATATTTACCCATAAATTCTTTGTACAGGGACTGCTCAACATGTAGGAAGTCTTTATTTAGATCAGCCTTCTTAACCTAGGCTCTATGAATTTGATAACTATATTTCAATATAATTGGTTTCCTTTGTAATCCTTTACATTTTATTTTATGCCTTTTAAAATATAATCCTAAGGATAAACTTCTTCAGATGCCAAAGGGATTGATAACACAAAAAAGAACCCTTTATCTAGACCTCTTGACATTGCATGAATGCCAGTGGGGCACACCTATCGTCCATTGGTCATTCCTCTCTCTCACCACATGAAAACAACATTTCCCCAACCCCTCATATCCTTCTGATGAAGTCTTTGATGTTAGTTATCTTATGAAATTCTTGGTTTGTAACATGTTTTCTGCCATGTGCCTCTCCATTATCCTTTAGGTGACCTCCAACTTTAATACTTTATTCTGTTGAATTACACAGAAATAATAATAGCAGACCAACTTTTCCAGGCGACAAAGCACTTAAACATATATTATCTGATTCAATAATCTTAACAACCCTGACATGTACTAAAACCTAGATAGGTTGTTGATCTGCATTGGTGGAAAATTTTTCTACCCTGGAAATCTCTGATTCTGATGACATCATATCTCCTTCATGTGCTGACATTTCTTTCTTTTTTAATTTTTTAAATAAATTTATTTATTTTTAGTTTTCAACATTTACTTCCACAAGATTTTGAGTTCCAAATTTTCACCCCATCTCGCCCCTCCCCCCACCCCAAGATGGCATGCATTCTGAATACCGCTTCCCCTAGTCTGCTTTCCCAGCTATCTCTCCCCCCCTTTTCTTATCCTCTTCCCCTTCTATTTTCCTGTAGGGCAGAGTAGATTTCTGTACCCCATTTCCTGCATTTCTTATTTCCCAGTTGCATGTGAAAACATTTTTTCTTAAACATGTGTTTTTAAAACTTTGGGTTCCAAATTTTCTCCCTTCCTCTCTCCCCACCCACCCTCATTGAAAAGGCAAGCAACTCAATAGAGGTTATACATGTGCAGTTATGCAAAACACTTCCATTGTAAACTTGTTGTGAAAAACTAACTCTATTTCCCTTAATCCTATCCCACCCACCCATTTATTCTATTCTTTCTTTTGACTCTGTTCCTCCTCAGAAGTATTTGCTTCTGATTACCCCCTTTCCCAATCTGCCTCCTCTCTATCATCCCCTTACTCTTTTGTCCCTTTCCCCCCCTATTTTCCTGATGGGTAAGACAGATTTCCATACCCAGTTGAGTGTGTACGTTATTCTCTCCTTAAGTCAAATCCTATGAGAATAAGATTCACGCATTCCTTCTCACCTTCCCCGATTCCTCTCCACTGTAAGAGCCTTTTCTTTTCTGTTTTTTTTCATGAGATAATTTACCCTTTTCTACCTCTCCCTTTCTCCTTCTCCTAGTATAATCCTCTTACCCCTTAATTTTATTCTCCAGATATGACCCCTTCATTTTCAACTCACCCTGTGTCCTCTATCTATCTATCTATCTATCTATCTATCTATCTATCTATCTATCTATCTATCTATCTATATCTATATCTATCTATCTTTCTACATACATATACATACATATAATTTTTCCCCTCCAACTACCCTAATACTGACAAAGGTCTCATGAGTTACAAATATCATCTTTCCATGCAGGAATGTAAACAGTTCAACCTTAATAAGTCTCTTATGATTTCTCTTTCCTGTTTACCTCTTCATGTTCCACTTGAGTCTTGTATTTGAAAGTCAAGTTTTCTATTCAGCTCTGGTCTTTTCATCAAGAATGCTTGAAAGTCCTCTATGTCATTGAATGACCATTTTTCCCCTGCAGGATTATACTCAGTTTTGCTGGGTAGGTGATTCTTGGTTGTAATCCCATCTCCTTTCCCCTCCGGAATATTATATTCCATGCCCTGCAGTCCCTTAATGAAGAAGCTGCTAAATCTTGTGTTATCCTGATTGTGTTTCCACAATACTTGAATTGTTTCTTTCTGGCTGCTTGTAATATTTTCTC